ATTTTTAATATTAATTTTGGTGTTATAACTTAATTTAGGATTTTAATTTTGAAAAAAATAAAACAAGGAAAAGAAGGAATTAATTTGAAAAGTAAAGAAATGAAAATCAAAGTTTGGGCTGTTCTTTAAACCCAAATTTCCAAGCCCAAAAACACGCCCCATACTCGGTCCAAACTTTCAGTCTCTAAAACCATCAAAATGACGTAGTATAGGGACAGAACTACGTCGTTTCGATTTCAGTAGATCTCAACAAACTCATTTGGTAGGAATGTTTGGTAGGAATTTCTAAGTATTAATTTGGTAGGAATTTATTTTTTTTTTAAAAAAAAAAGAGGGGAGAAGAAAGATTATGTGCTTAAGATATATAATTCATAAAGTGCTCTAGGTAGCTTGTTTGAAGTTTTGTTTTAATACCAAAAGACTATAAAGTTTCATTTTTCGTTTTGCTCAGTTTTCTGTTAGCAAAATTTGTCGCTTTGTGTGGTAATATTTTTGTTTTCTGTTAACATAGTTCTTAAGACTGCAAGTATTTAATTATTTCTTAAAAAATTTTAATCCCAAAATGTGAGAATGAGGAGGGCTCACTGTTCATCCATGAAAATCTTGCATTCACATATTTACATCAGAATCAAATCGATAGTATGCTTTTAGGTATGATCTTAATAAATCAATCATCGTGATTGCGTACATGTTCGCGTGACATAATTATAATTATCAAAATAAATTAAGGTATGCGTCCGCGCGACTTTGACTAAGTTTTTTTTTAATAAACTAAGTGTTGTGAATTGTGTACGCGTACGCGTGACATGACTCTTGACACGCCAAACCACACGAGTATACATATGCGTAACACGATAATTCTTTAAGTACGAGCAAATCACGTAGTTAAAAGCAATAAAGGTAAAATGCATGCAGTTTCTAAACACGTAATTAAATAATTTAAGCCAAGTATAAATTGTTAAGCGACCGTGCTAGAACCACGGAATTCGGGAGTGCCTAATACCTTCTCCCGGGTTAACAGAATTCCTTACCTGGATTTCTGGCTCGCGCACTGTAATACAGAGTCAAAATTTTCCTCGATTCGGGATTCTAACCGGTGCCTTGGGACACCATAAATTATCCCAAGTGACGACTCTGAATTTAATGTAAATAATCCCGCTTCGATTGTCCTTTAATTGGAAAAACTCCCTTATACCCTTTACGGGGTGTAGGAAAAAAGGAGGTGTAACACTTGTCACCATACCTATACATCGTACTCAACACTAACACGTAGCAAATAAGACCACAACACCTATTCCCTCAAGCTAAGGTTAGACCAAAAACTTACCTCGATTCTACGAACAAAATCAAACCTCAATTACCGTTTTACCTCTCGGTTCCACTTCTACTCCGCTTGTACCTAGTCACAAATTACTTAATAACATCAATAAATGCTAAATAAATCAATTCTAATACATAAATATAGATTTCCCAATGGTTTTCCCAAGAAGTCAAAAATCGACCCCGGGCCTGCTTAGTCCAAACCCAAAATTTGGGCCAAAGCCGGATTACCCATTCACCCCCGAGCCCGGATATACAATTGGTTTTGGAATCCAACCTCAATTTGAGGTCTAAATCCTCAAATTTCAATATTCCTACGTTCTACCCAAAATTCCCAATTCCACCATGAAAACCCCAGATTCTAGGATGAAATCTTGTAAAAAGAAGTTAAAGAGTGAAAGAAATGAGTTTAAAATCACTTACTTATGATTTAGGGAAGAAAGAGTATTTCAAAAATTGCCTCTTATGCCTTAGGGTTTTGAAAAAGATGAAAATGGATAAAAAGTCCCGTTTATATAGCCCTCACAGATCCTCAAACACTAATCGCAGAAAAAGGGTCGTGCCCGCGAAACTCACGGCTGACAGCGAAATAACGGGCGCGGTCGCAGAAACTTTAGCCTTGCCCACCGATGATCGTGAAATCCTACCGCGCCAGTGGAATCCCCAGCACAGCCACAAAATTCCTCCGCGGACCGCGAGAGCCCAGGTTCAAAGACCTGCAATTTTTCTGGAATTGTGCAACACATGTCTTTTCCTAAGTCTATACACCCCGAAGCCTATCTGTAACTCACCCGAGCCCTCGGGGCTCCAAAGCAAACATGCACACAAGTCTAAAAGCATCATATGGACTTGCTCATGCGATCAAATCGCCAAAATAACATCAACAACTACGAATTTAACCTCAAACTCAAGATTTTTCCTCAAGAACACTTCAAATTTACTATTTTCACCATCGGATGTCCGAATCACGTCAAATCAATTTTGATTCTTACCAAATTTCACAGATACAACTTAAATATTATATTAAACCTGTACCAGATTTCGGAACCAAAATACGGGAACGATACCATCAAGATCACATATCATTTCATTTCCAAAAGTCCTTATATTTTCCAGTAAATAATTTTCTTTAAAAAAAAGTTCTTGGGCTAGGGATCTCAGAATTCGATTCCGGGCATACACCCAAGTCCCATATTTTACTGCGGACCCTATAGGACCGTCAAATTATGGGTCCGGGTCTGTTTATCCAAAACATTGACCAAAGTCAACTTTAATAAATTTTAGATGCCAAATTCAATATTTTTCTTATATTTCACATAAAGGCTTTCTGAAAACATGCCCAAACCGCGCACGCAAATCGAGAAGGAAGAAAATAAGGTTTTTAAGGCCTCGAAACCCGGATTCGAATTCTAAAACACAAGAAGACCCTTTGGGTCATCACACTCACCTCATTGGAAGAAAGCAGGTACTATGATTTCTACTGGTCTTTCACCTGTATCAAAGGAAGTAGGAACTGGGGCTGACCCTACTACTCAAATCCGGATAGAGGAAGTAGGAACTATGTCTCATGTAGCACTCTCATCTCTTGCAAAGGAAGTAGGAACTGTGAAATATGTAGAACTCTCACCTCTAAAAGAGGAAGTAGGTATTATGGCATTAGTTGTACCCTCACCTTTGCATGATGCAGTAGATGAGTATATGCACATACAGCCTGTGGATGAAGTTGATATTAGTGATGAAGCAGATAATGAACATAGTGAAGACCTGAAAGAAGATGACACTTGCAGTCATCTCCTTACTGCTTTTAATGGTCACCCTGATTCTGCTACAATATTGATGCACAAGGACTCTCTCCCAGAAATAAGCCACTGCACTACCTCACCAGAAGCAAAGCAACCATCTCTACCCTTCCACCAAAGCACAACCTCCCAAACACTTTTAATGATTAGTACAATCACATGGAATATAAGATGTATAAGAACCTCTGGAGCCATTGAAAGACTCAAAACTCTCAAACATCTTCACAAACTATCCTTCATTTCACTCCTAAAACCTTTTCTTGACAACAATCATATCAATTACTACATAATTCAATTCTCCATGCATCATGCAGCGTCAAATATCAACAAAAAATCTGGATCTTTTGGGATCAAGACTATACAGGGTCAGTCATTGACCAAGATGAGAAGCAAATGACTATTGAGCTAAAGCATGTAGAAGCAGTTGAAATTTTCCAATTAACTATTGTCTATTCCAAGTGCAAAGAAAATCTTAGAAGACCACTATGGGAGGTACTGAGGCAGAAATCTTTGACATGTACCATCCCATGGTGCGTGAATAGAGATTTCAATGTTATTGCATCCATTGAAGAAAAGATAGGGGGTCTACCATACCAACTGAGTAAGAGCCTGGACTTCCTCAGTATGATAGAAGATTGTGGACTTGTAGACCTGGGGTTTTATGGCCCTAGATATACTTGGTCTAATGGCAGAGGTCCAGGATCAGTAATTTAGAAGAGATTGGACGGCGACATGGTAAATGACAATTGGTTAATCTCATTCCCAGCTACCACCATTTCACACTTAGCCTCCACTGGGTCTAACCACAATCCCCTAATAATGGAGATGAATGTCAAACAGGATACTAGCAAAAAAAATACTTCAAGTTTCTCAACTGTTGGGTGGAAAATGAAGGCTTCATCCCTCTGGTTCAAGAAATTTGGAATCAGGAAGTCAGAGGCATGCTATGTGGATCTTCCATCAAAAACTTAAAGCAGTCTCTAATACCTTAAGTAAATGGTCGAGGCACGAATATGGGGATATTTTCTAGAAGGCCAAGGAATATGAAGAAAAGGTTAAGCAGGCAGAAATGACTTGGGATTAAACAAATGATACAGATGACAGAATGAACTTTCATGAGGTAACAACTCAATACAAAAAATACAGGAAGCTGGAAGAGTCTATTCTGAAGCAAAAAACAAAGCTTTAGTGGTTCAAAGATGCTGATGCAAATTCAATATACTTCCATAATTTAATAAGAGGAAGAAGAAGAAAGTTGTTTCTTCATAAAATCAAAGACATTGAAGGTGAGTGGGTGAAAGGTGATGAAGCTATAGGGGAAGCTGCTTGTGACTACTATCAGGATCTATTTACAGAAACTGGTGGCATCATTAAAGAAGACCTGCTATCTTGCATCCCATCATTCATCACAGATGAAGAAAATGATCTCCTCACCAGAGATCCAACTATTGAAGAACTCAAGGAAGTGGTATTCTTAATGAGTCTAATAAGTACAGCAGGTCCTGATGGTATGAATGGAAAGTTCTTTCAATCCTGCTGGGACATCATCAAGGTTGATATACTACAGGTTGTCCTAGCCTTCTTTGGTGGTTTAGAAATGCCTAAGTACATGACTAGTGCCTGCCTAATTTTGATACCAAAGGTTGAATTTCTCAACTCCTTCACTGAATACAGACCTATCAGCCTCACCAATTTTGTTAACAAAATCATCTCAAAGGTTATTTGTTCCAAACTTAGCCCAATCCTTCCTAGAATCATTTTACCCAATTAGTCTAGTTTTGTTAAGGGCAGGAGTATTTTTGAAAACATAATGCTTGCACAAGAAATTGTGCAAGGCATCGAAAACCAAACAAAGGGTCAAATGTTATTATCAAGCTGGACATGGCAAAAGCTTATGATAGGGTATCCTGGAGCTATACATGTATTATGCTGAGAATAATGGGATTCAATGAAAGAATAATTGACATGATATGGAGAACTATGGGAAACAATTGGTACTCAATAATCATCACTGGCACTAGATGTGGTTTTTTTCACTCTACCAGAGGTTTGAAACAAGGAGATCCACTGGCCCCATCCTTGTTTATCATAAGAGTTGAACTTCTTTTTAGGATGCTCAACAACCTCACCCATGATCAATTCTTTAATGGTTTATACATAGAGTGGAGGGATCCACAAATCAACCACCTAACCTTTGCCGATGACATCATAATCTTCACATCAGGAGGTAGAGCATCATTGCAGAAGATTATGGAGATTCTCAACAATTATGAACACACATCTAGGCAGCAAATCAACAGGCAAAAAAGCCACTTCATGGTTTCTCCCCCTGCATTCCCAGCTACCATCAGAGGAGTTCAGCAGATCACAGGCTTCACCAAGAAAGAATCTCCCATTACCTACATGGGGTGTCCATTATACATAGGAAGAATGAGAATAGTATACTTCAATTCTCTGGTAGCCAAGGTGATAAGCAGAATTAAAGGGTGGCAAAGCAGAATCCTCTCTTATGGAGGCAGAGCCACTATGATTAAGCATGTTCTCCAATCTATACCTACACATCTGTTGTCAGCCTTAACGCCATCACCCCCTCCCAAAACTATACTGAGGCGGGTCGAGAAGTTAGCAGCTAACTTCTTTTGGGGAATGGAGAAAGATAAAAACATATACCACCGGGCTTCTTGGCAAAAATTGACATTTCCAACTGAAGAAGGAGGTGTTGGCATCAAATCAATGGAAGATTTCTGCCAAACCATGAAATTCGAAAAATGGTGGCTTTTCAGAACTAAAGACTCACTATGGAGCAAGTTTCTCAGAGCTAAATATTGCCAGAGATCAAATTCCATTTCCAAAAAATGGAACTCTGGGCAATCACAAAAATGGAAGAAAATGATGATTAATAAGAAAGAATCTGAAAAACACATCACTTGGAGACTACATTCTGGTAGCTGCAATTTTTGGTGGGATAACTGGTTGGGAGATGGTGCTCTTTATTAGCACAGAAGTGAATGAGGAAGACCACGCAATGTCCTTTAATACCTTCCATCCTCCAAATCCAAATCTATCACAACCCTAAAATCCAAGACCAACCTATTTGGACCCCAAATGTGAAAGGAAACTTCATATGCTCTTCTGCATGGGACTTGATTAGGAAGAAGAGGCATAGATGTTTCTCTAATAAAATGACATGGCATAAGAAGATCCCTTTCAAATGGTCCTTCTGTATGTGGAGAGCCCTCAGAAACAAACTACCTATATATGATAGGGTGCTATTATTTAGTAGCCCTACTGTATCCAAGTGTTTATGTTGTTATACACTTGAGGCAGAATTTATGGATCATATTTTCAGTAGGGGCCAATTTGGCAGTATGGAAAACGTTTGCAGGACAATCTAGTATCCACACTACTAAAATGCCTCTAAGACTTCTTTTGATGAAATGGTGGCTTCAGAAAAGAAACAATGAAGTGCAGAAGCTTTTACTTGACACTGTACCAACTATTATTTGCTGGAACATTTGGAAGAACAGGTGCAGTGCAAAATATGGCAACAAAACTTCCTCCTTCACCAGAGTTATCTACTCCATCAACTCAGATATTCACATGCTCATGCAAACAACCTACCCCTCAATTTGCTGGTCAATAAAATGGGAGGATTTATATCCCATTGCTGAGAGCACCAAACACTACATCAATGTCAGGCAGGTTGTTTGGAGCAGACCTGGACATAGATTTCTAAAAATCAATAGTGATGGGAGTGCACCAAACAATCGAAAAAGTGTAGGGGTGGGGCAATAATAAGGAACTGCAGTGGTACATTTATTCATGCCTTAGCTGCTCCATTGGGAGAAGGTACCAATAACCAAACTGAAGTAGAAGCAACAACCTTAGGAATTAAGCGGTGTGTTGACAATGGCCACAACAAGGTACACTTAGAAGTTGACTCAACACTGCTCATTCATTGGCTTACCACTGACATTGACCCTCCATGGAATTTAAAGATGCAACTGATGAATCTAAGACAACTATGTGGCCAATGTGAAGAAATCAAATTCTCACATGTGTATAGGGAGGCCAATTGCCCGTAGACTTCCTTTCCAAACTCAGAGACAACCTATCATCCATAAACCATTTTTATTCCACTCAGTCTCTCCCCAACCACATTAGAGGTCAGATCCAGCAGGACCTTCTAAGCACCCCTGCATTCAGACACAAAAAAACTAGTAGAATCATATGCCCATCATAGCTTGCTTCAACCTCTAGCTCCTCTCATGGATATGGTTGATACTGTTGAAATAATGGGAGCTAACCTATCTATCAAAAGCAACATGCTCAACAGCAATAACAATAGCAGCAGCAACCTCTCCTCCACTTTAACCAGAAATAGAAATCAGACAATTTTTTACCTAACCTTGTTTTTCTTTTTTGCAAGTAACGGAAGTAAACTCGCAGCATTGGTATACATTCAAGGTGTGGTATCAACACTGTATGTGCTCATTCTATTGAATGTATACCAATGTGGTTGGCATTTTCCATCTACCTAGAATCACAAGAATCAGCAGGACAGTTGTTGCTTCCTCTCTTATGTCAACAAGCCCCTTTGGACATTGCATTGCTCAACACTCAGTAGTGTCACAGATGTTACAAGACAACAACCAAGTAGCATCAACTTCTCTGAATACTTGGAGTTGATTGAAATTGAACAATCAACAATATGCAACACAGTTTCTGGATAGTTTTCTGCACAATTTTTGGCATCTACTTGGGTTACTTTTACAATGACTTCTTGTACTCAAGTTAACATGAAGATAACTTTGATGTAGCCTTTACTATCTCCCATATGTTGTTGTATTATGTTTTTGTCACCTCACATAGGGAGAACATGTCTTCTGTTGTATTATAGGAGCAAACGTATATTGGAGGAGTCCTCCAATTCTAGTTTTATAGCTGACCTAACCTCATTTAGTTTTTGTAAATCATTAGGCTACCATTTGTGGTTAGCAAAATGGTACACCTATTTAGGTATGACTTCACACTCTTGTAAAGTATCAAATGGTTGTATAGTTAATAGTCATCTAATACCAACCACTTATTCGGAAGTACAATTTAGGTCCCCCTCCTTGTTGTACTTTAACTCTAAATATATAAAATTCAGCGTTAGGTACAATGCCTAGTGAATTCTCCAAAAAAAACATAGAGAATATGAGTTGAAATTAAAAAGTAAAATCCTGAGAAATATAAAAAGACTCATAGAGTAAGAAAAGTAGAATTGATGATGAGATAAATATATTATTTTATTTAATAAGAGAAAAACATTTATCGCATTAAGTCACTCATCCTACCTCAACCGAATTTGAGAAAATTTTAAAACTAAAAATCTTTTATTAAAAGTTATATAAATATATTATAATAATAATAATAATACAGTAGTAAATATTTGGGGGCCGAAGAGAAGGACTTCAACCTAGAGCCGCCCTTGACATCAATAATACATTAGCAAAAAGAGGTAAAATGATGTCGTCGCCATCAATTGAAAAAACAGCGACGGGTTCCAGTTTATTTGTCTGATAATCATAGGGTTATTTAGTGTATACGCAGCCATGATAGGAATGGAGGTTATGGACAAGGCACAAGAAGAGGATTCCTTTTCCGATCAAAAGATTCTACTTACAGCAAGCTCTTACCTTATAAGTCTAACTATTTTGTCTTGGCTTTTTATGGTTGAAAATGCCAACCGTATATCACATCCCCAAGGAAGACTTTTATCCATAGCAACCTCTCTCGCCGTAGCCATTATCTGTTTGCTTTTTATGGTTATCGCCTTGGTGTATGTTGCAACTTCGCTTCTTCTAATTCCCTCAGCTTCTGCTCCATAATATTTCAAGTAATCTGCATGCACCAATAAATGTAGTGACTAGGATTTTCTTCTATTTTCTAATTTTTGAATTAGAGAAGTATATAAATGGTGGCATGGGGGAACGGAATGAATAATTGGATTTGTATTCAAGTCCAAAATGAATAGTTGAGTTTGTAAGGAAAATGAGTAGATAATATTGACTAAGAACAAGAAGGAAAGAATAACTTATAAAAAATAATGTGTCGTGGCAAGCCACTGCCTTGAAAGCGATTTCGGCCCAATTAGGTACAAATCGTTAAGATCGGTCGCTCCCCAAGATTCTACAGCACCTCTAAACACGTGCACGCGTGGCTGGAAGTTTAGAATTTGCACAAAACAGTTGCCCAGAAAGAAGGGAACAACAACAACAACAACAACAACAACAACAACAAAAACAACAACCCAGTATAATCCAACTAGTGGGGTCTGGGGAGGGTAATAGGTACGCAGACCTTACCCCTACCCCGAGGGGCAGAGAGGTTATTTCCAGGAGACCCTCGGCTCAAGAAAGCGAAGGGAAGGGAAGATGAAGGTATTTTCTGTAGCTGTTACAGAAATTAAAATATTGTAGGAAGAAAATAACGATTAGCAAGATAAATTATTGGTTAATAATTGAGTGAATATAATGGATAATGATCATCATATTTATAGGCAATTAGGGAGGTTGCATGTATGATAAGTGTGGAGAGCCTTTTAACAATTGTCCAAATATATTAGTCCACTTGACTTCAATATTAACAAGTGTACCTAGTCTTCCATGCATGAAGACACATGATACATTTGCATAGCCATTTGTCAAAGTCATTCAACACTTGGCTTTAAGGCTTCATGCAAGAAGCCACTTGGAAATAGATAGAACACTTAAAAAATAAAAAGACCCATGGCTATTGGTTGTAAATGGATTTTCAAAAAAAAAAATTGACTTTGCATTATAAATAATACCAACAATCTCCCACTAATGCAAAGAAAAAAAATAGAATGATTTTGGGCAAAAGAAGGAACATGTACTTAAGCGTCAATATTTTTCAAATTGAATTGACACGTAGTGAAAAGAGGCAACAACTAACATCTACAAAGTGAAGTACTCTCGAACTGAATGGACATTAGTTGAGACCCCCCCAACACATACTATATCCTTAATTTTATGCAAACTCCGTGATACTAACAAAGTGTTTTTATGGTCATGCACATACCTTGGTCTTATGAGTGCTCTAGAAAGACATCCCAAGTCTTTCATAAAAGGCGACTGCACATTTACACTCACGTAGGTGATTCCATCAAGTCTATCTACACATAGACTACCTTAAGGCTATGGAACATTAAGAGAAAAGTAAGTTCAACCTTATAAAGCACTACCACACGCCATAGGGATAGGAAATGTAGTGCATATTGAGGTATCATATGGCTTTGTTTGACCACAAACGGGTATCCACCATACTTCTCCTATTAAATAGATTGACACTAATTCATCACTCAAAATATCAAGATCAATATTTTCAGTCAAGAAAGTAGCAATAAAGTCAGGACCAAAGCTAGCTTCAATTCTATGCCTCTTACTTATTCTAAGTTCATTTTCATGCTCATTAGCAGTAAACTAGAAGAAGGCACAATATGAGAATTAACTGACATAGATGTAAAAGCATTATTAGGCATAACACTAGGCACATTATTTTTCAATGGAAAAACATGCTCAAAAAATTCTGCATTCTAGATTCACAAATAGAACTATCATTCAAAGACATAAATCTATATGCAACACTGTTTTGAGCATAACCAATGAAAATAACATCAAAAGTCTTGGGTCCAACAGTTACTTGTTTAAATTCAGGTAGACCAACCATAGCCAAACACCCCCACACTTTCAGAATTTTCAAGTTAGGGACAACTCCTTTCCATAACTCATACGGGGTTTTATCTAACTTTTTATGAAGGACTTTATTAAGAACATAGCATGCAGATAAAACAGCTTCCCCCCACATATTATCAGATAAATCCGAACTCAAAAGCATAGAATTCATCATTTCCTCAAGGGTTCTATTTTTTTGTTCGGTTACACCATTTTGTTGGGGAGTATAGGGAACACTAACCTCATGTAATACCATTT